ATCAACCCATTGGGACAGTTTAACGTTTTTTTCTGTTTTCTTTGCAATGGTTAACTCGAACCAATTTCAAAGGGACTTCGTGTTGTAAGTTGAACGAACGATATTCCTTCCGGGAATTGTAGCGCTTGCATTAATTTCGGCCTGGTAGAGCCTGGATTCGCGACAAGGATAGACATTTCATTCGGCGAATTCCGGTTTAAATTATGGTAAGACAGGATAAACAAATTCAGGATTCACTAGTGCATCGTAATTTATCAGTGACAGGCCGGCAAATAAACGAGTATTTTCCAGCAAATTTACTTTTCTCCGAATTTAATTTTAGTGTTGCTGAGCGGGATTTTTAGCCAGCGCTTTAGAACTCGTAGTGGCAAATTGTGATCGGAGCGGAAAGAAGGCAAAAGGAAATTGCATGTAAGCAATAACAGTGAACACTTTTAAAAAGCCATTACGCTAATAAGGAGCTCCAGTTCAATAGAGGCGCCTTTGATCTTATTGACTTCCATCCGGCAGGCCACCAAAGTTTAACATGATTGAAACACTCAAATTGCCGCCTTTATTACGGGCCTGTTCAGCGTGGTAGATTCGCCTCAGGCGGTTTTCCATTTTTCACTCTTAGATACCCAATGAGGTCAGTAAATGTTCAATGTTACCATTGCACTTTCAGTCCAGTCCGTCGGAATAAAACCTTGTTGCAAAGAAGCCTTGCTAGTCGGCGCGCGTGGAACAACAACACATCTTTCCATTAATTTTCCGAAAATAGCTCGAGCTCGAACCCCCGCTGAGGTCTTTCAAGAACACATAATACTGCTGATTTTCCCAAGTAGGTACTAAACATATTACCCTATTTTTACCCCATCTCGTCCTTGCCTAGAAAAACAACAGCAGCAGCAGTGGTCGCAACTTTTTCTTGCTGCTGTGCCGCAATTTAAAACAGCCGAATGCAGCGCTTCAATTAAGGTTATGAGTTTTTTGTTACAAATAAAACACTGTAAGTGTGTCAGATTATGTTTTTCATCTCCAATGGGTTTAAGTGGGTCAGCCAGTAATTGCTTTTCGGATATCGATACCTACTGGTGTTTGTTTGGAATTGTTGGGAATTAGTACGCCAACTTAAACCTGTCCGGAAATCGAAATCGTTCGATGTCTGGATATTTTTGGATTTACGTATGCCAACTCTGTATGTCTGTACGGTTTATAAAAGCAGTCAAATTTGCAATAATATTGAGAAGAATTCAACGTTTTTCGGCTGAGTTTTCCTGAGTAGGAACTCTTGAGTTCAAGGATCCGGACCGAATCAAAATTACTGTTCCGGTACGGTTCCGGTTTAGAAAATATCTTCTTTCTTATTTTTTACTGTCTAGCGCTTTTTCCTTCATTCTGTTTTCACTCAGGTTCACTATTTATTTAAATCCTCTCGTTTCAGTCTTATTTCCGTTTAAAGATTGTTCTCCCCGATTTGTGCTTTTACACTCTTCGCAATATTTTGAGGAGTTATAATAATCCATCTTGAAAAGGGTTTTAAGAGTAGTGTATTGATTGATTTGACGATTGAAAAGTCGGTGGGGTCCAAAAATATCCCAACAATGATCATTATTTACCAGCATAAGTTCTCTGTCCTCCATTTTCCTGAAGATAATAGTTGCAAAGAAAGAACCAGGTTTCTTTAATGAAAACTTGTATTCTTTCCAGTAGCCTTAAAAACTGTTATATAACCAACAACTACCAGTAACAAAAAACTTAAATAGCGTTAAACTCACGGTTTGAATCTTAAGTTCGGTGTCATTTTTTGTTATCTACGGGGAAACTTGTGTTAATATAGAATATGGGTTCAGGAAATAAAATGTCGATATTTCAACTCAAAACAGAACCAGTTCAAGCCCAAAACTGATGTCATTGAACTTGTGCCGATCCGATTAATAAAACTAACCCAAATTCTAGCATAAAGAGTGGCGTTTATTCTATTTTTACACGCGAAGAAAGCAAATTTTAGCGGCAAGATTGAGCAAATTAGCATCATCAACTGGCGATATGGAAATGTGGTTTTGGTTAGTACCTCCTGTAAAAGTGTACGCAAATGATGGGGATTTTTGGTTGATCGGTGCCGATTTTGCCGATGCAAATCATGTCATTAGCGTGGCTTTCACAGCAGCGATGACTCCCAAAGTAATTATATCAAAAGCCGTACCCCCTAATTACAAAGTTTCCATGTAAAGTGCATTAGCTTTTCCATACTGTGATGTTTCCACCTACGTTGAAAGCGAAACGAGCCACTATCGCAGTGCATAGTACAGTCTAATGGGTTTAGTTTGGGTCATAAAAGGTGTTACAAGCTGTTTCGACACCAAATAATTAAAATCTAAACACGTCGATGATCTTTTAACTGGCTACTTCAGAGCACCTTGGCCCATTTCGATGATTATTCCGATTTGATACGCATCGATGCGCCAGAAACTGAAAAGTAAAAATGAACGGATAGGCTGTAATAAAAGCAAGCGCGATGAGCGATCGTTATTAAAAGCGGCTGATGATGTTGCTAATTGGATTTAGCAAACTATAAAATCTACCATTATTAAATAATTTCGAATTACCATCATTGTTTCGTGCGGTGTCATAATCAGCCGGTTCAATTTGTGTAATTGCAGTTGAATAATCCGTGTAGGATTCATTTTTCATGGATTTTCTAGTTGGATGAAGCAACTGCTTTTAATACTTGAGCTCAGGAATCGCTCATTTCAATTAATAATGTATGAGGAATTTAATGAGGCAATGAAAGCAGGTCCGAGGAAATTAAATCGACGATTGTTGGCCATTTCCACGCTGAATTTCTATCAACCTAATCGTGACTTTGTCAAACGTGAAAAACACGACACAGCTACACGCATAAGCCAGGTTGAAAATGGAAAAAAACGACGCAGACTGATTGACTTCTACATGGAACGAATACGAATATCTCTGACGTGCGTGTCTTCATAGTTTCATGACGCATCACGTGATGCTTTTCAACATTTGCCGTTAGCTGGCATCCATAAATTTTCCTTGGCGCTGGCACCTTTTTGTAGACGGAAAATCATCGAATATTCACCCTCAAGCTTTAAGTTCAACGCGATCAGCCTGCACACCTGCACGAATGTGCTCCATTATACAACCGAACCGTCGAATTGAATAATCAAAATACTCCACAATCATTAATCACCTCAATGTTCTCTTTGGGGGTTTTAAAACCGATTTCTGCAAGTCGCCCTCGATCCACGGGTGTTTCATTTCGGATCGCCACTCCACTAATCCCGCTTTATATGTGCCAATCCAATTCAGCCCGTTTGATAGAACCGATTCCCAAACGCAGTATAATAATACTAAATATATGGATTACCTTGCGCCATGAACGTTTTAGTACCAGTAAAGTCTGTCCGAACGGCCATCCTCTAATTCGATTGGGCAGTTCACTACGGCTATTTTAATTACCCCCCACAGCCCAGACCGGAGGCTTACTCTAATCCAGGTTAAATGGAATGGAGTGTTATCATTTCTATATGTGGCTATAACTGTAGATCAAGCGAGGGATTTCTTGGCGATTCGGGGACAATTTGAACCCTCACGTCCTCCTTGAGGAGTTGAAATCTGGTCTTCTACATCTCTGTTAGCTTCACCAACTCGAGTTAGTTTCGAGTGTTTTCCTTCATGGAAAAAAGCAACTCTAATTTCCTCAGAGCTTGGGGAGTTGAAATCTGGTCTTGTACATCTCTGTTAGCTTCACCAACTCGAGTTAGTTTCGAGTGTTTTCCTTCATGGAAAAAACCAACTCTAATTTCCTCAGAGCTTGGGGAGTTGAAATCTGGTCTTGTACATCTCTGTTAGCTTCACCAACTCGAGTTAGTTTCGAGTGTTTTCCTTCATGGAAAAAACCAACTCTAATTTCCTCAGAGCTTGGGGAGTTGAAATCTGGTCTTGTACATCTCTGTTAGCTTCACCAACTCGAGTTAGTTTCGAGTGTTTTCCTT